CCCTCCCCAGTCTCCCGTCTTGGACGATGTGGAACTGGAACTGGAACTGGAACAGGAACTCCCCTCTCTGATTGCAGAAGTGAGTACTGACTTCCCAGGATGCTATTGAAATGGAGCAAAGGCCGCTTGCCTAGGATCCGACCAGCAATGGAGTACATGCATGCGTAGTTGTGACATGTTGTGACAACCCTGCGAGGTTCAGAGGGCGCAACTGCAAGGACGCTTGTGTTCCTTGGTTCAACTTGTTGCTGATTCGTTGATGCCACTGTCTCCACACATATACCTTCAGAAAGGCTGGTATGCTCCTTGCCGAGGTCTTTGACTTGCCTTTTGGCCTTTGACCTCATGGTGTTCAGTCTCATTTTCTGGACTGCCAAGATGTGCCGAGCCAAGCAGTGAACAGTTCGATTTTATCCTTCGACATGCAGGATTCTGTTCAAAACAAGCACCGCAGCAGGGACAGTCTGGCACTTATCAGTTCGTAAACCGTCGATGATAGGCCTGATAGGCCCTGCAAGTCATTGTTCAAGCTCATGAGGTTTGGATCCTTCTACCACCATTGGCACAGCCATTGGGGTTCCTTGATAGCATAAAGTTGCACGAAGCAACCAGCGAAGATGATCTGCCTGTTTCCTTGCGGAAGATGCCAGGCTGGTATTCGGATTGCTTTTTCTGATTTTGGAGGACAGACAGTTGTGAGGACCATTTCTGCTTGAATGCAGGGCCCACCATTCTTGATCGTTCTTGATGTGCAAAGACAACGTGTGGGTTCGATAATTAATTGTAGCTGGCACTTTGCAGGGGCAGCACCACTAGCACATGACAAACCGAAAGGTGATCAGGGATTAGCATGGACTCGTCTTGGGTCACAGCAGCATCACTGGACACCCCAGATGCAATTTGATTGGTGGAGGATCCTGATCTTGGAAGACTTTTTGCGGACCTGGAACTCTTTAGCATGTGGAATGCGGTCTTTGCATTGCTCGTGCTCCACTGATTAAGTGGCATCTGACAATGACTGTAAGTTAGAGCTGGCATGCGCAAGCCATGCCCACACCTCCCAGCCAGGTACTTCTTTTTTCTCTGCTCATGGATTCCTTCTTGCTCCAGCCTCAGACTCAAGAAACATTGCTGTGGCCAGGGAACTAATTCAAGGTTTGACATCGTCGCCATGGGAGTGGCGCTATGCGTGAAGGCACCATGTTTTAGTCTGAACTGCACAACTCGAGCCTTGAGGATGGTGGGCTGCTACTAGGCTCACTGTAGGAAAGGACCTCACTACCCTTACCGTTACTAAAAGATGTAAGACTTACGTGTTTGAACCAAGGGCGCAATAAGCTTCAGTATAAGACTTCTTCTCTGTGAGAATTCTGAATTCACTATCAGCCCAGAGGCCATGCTCTTTGCATCGGCAGCTGCACACATTGCACAATTGGAAGCCGCCAGTGTTGGGCCTTCAGCGTGAAATAAACCTGCTCAGGCAGTGGTTATACATAGTGAAAGAATAGAGTTTCCCATCAAAATCTTCGTGCCAGAGTTTCTCAGGACCTAAGCTTCATTGGTGCACCCCAGGGCGATTTTGTTGCAGGCAGAAGTTCAAGCCAGAATTGGTCCAGTGGTTGTTTGTCAAACATATTGACATCATCCTTGTTTTGGTGAGTACCAACTTTCTTGATGAAGTTGGCTAATTGGCTTAGACTCTACAGTTGTAGGATTCGAACACTTTCCTTAGAATTCTTTAGATAAATGCAGCTAGGTGTCCACAGAGTTGTGGTAACATACCCCAGACATGCATCCACTGGGTAGAGAAGTCTCGGCATCAGTCACCCCTCCTGTGTCAGGCTTCTTTGCGCCACAGGCTTCAAGGAGTCAGGCAGGGTCTCCCTAAAACTGCAATATATGTGTTCCTTAGAGATCTTGGAGCAACCGGGAAGCGATTTAGCTTATTCATTTTCAACAACGGCTAAAGCGTTGCGCCGTTTTTGGCTTGGACATTCTATCTCGTGAAGCTGGTCTTGAGGCCTCAAGTCATCCTGATGGTGTGCAGTTCCCAGATGGTCAAGCATGGTTTAAGCATAATAATATGTAATCATTACACATAATTAGTCTATTGAGCAAGGTGATGAATAAAAGAAGGCAAGGGCCCTTTTTGGCTCTCGCACCTTATTAAGGGGTCCTTTACATGTTTATGTCATATCCTTTTCCAACCGTTCAGTCTCCAACAGCTTCGCACGAAAGGAGTCTCGGGAGAAGCCACGAGAGAATGACGCGCACGGCCCTCAAGTTTGCATGTCGACATAACCAGCCAGCAATGTCTGAATTTGAATGGTAAACCCCTAGCAAACAACCGAGGGAGAATGAATAGAGTTAACGCCCAAACTATTTGGGAATTGGTAGTAGTAGCATTAGGCAGCAGTAGTAGGAGTAGCAGCAGAGGAAGAAGAAGTAGATAGAAGTAGTAGGAGTAGGAGTAATGCGAACACTTATAGTTATAATATATTCCTTTCCACTTTACTAGCTGGGATTCGAGGTTGCATTCAGAAAGTGAACACTCCTCACATTTTGGGTAAGGTCCTTGCACTTGTCGACGTTTGACGCCATTGGGCCACGACAATTGTCATCAGCAACAGCTTCTAGCTTTCCGACTCTCACTCGTTGCTCTTCCAGGCGGAGCTAATTCAGCAGAAGTCCTTTGAGATCGTCATTTCAACAGAAGTGAACAAAGAAAGAGACAGGACAGCAAAGATTCAGTGTCTAAAGAAAAGAATAGAACAAGACAAATAACAAACATGAAAGATCCACAAAAACTGAGCTGTAGAGGTCTGCGCCGAGTCCACCAGCAAGCTCTTCCAGAATCGCAGTGCAGGCTCGTGCGAGCAGCATGCATGTGACCCATCATGGCCTGGCGTCCAGTGTTCACAACAGCCATAGCCCTAGCTGTGTTATGATGTATCCCGCCCTGTAACTGTTTTCGATGAAGCAAACACTCAAAATGAAACGTGAGAGGACTTAAAGGAACCGCTGGCAAGAAAACTACAGTGGAGAAGAGTGAGGAGCAAAATATGCATGAAAGACAAAAAGATGGATGAACCGGAATATGACCGGGAAAAATATAAAATATTAGTAACAAACAGATACTAGCAGCAAGGTGCATCGCTACTAGGAGAAAGAAGCTACCATGGCTCTAGTACTAGGAGCAAGAAGCTACCACGGGACTAGTAGCTCCTGGCATTACTTCTAGCAACAAGAAGCTACTAGTAGCAAGGTGCATCGCTACTAGGAGCAAGAAGCTACCACGGGTCTAGTAGCTCCTGACAGTACTACTAGCAACAAGAAGCTACTAGTTGCAAGGTGCATCGCTACTAGGAGCAAGAAGCTACTAGTAGCTCCTGACATTACTTCTAGTAACAAGAAGCTACTAGTAGTGCATCGCTACTAGGAGCAGCAAGCTACTAGTAGCTCCTGGCATTACTACTAGTAACAACAAGCTACTAGTAGCAAGGTGCATCGCTACTAGGAGCAAGAAGCTAGCACGGGGCTAGTAGCTCCTGGCAATACTACTAGTAACAAGAAGCTACTAGTAGCAAGGTGAGGAGCAAGAAGCTACCACGGGACTAGTAGCTCCTGACATTACTTCTAGTAACAAGAAGCTACAAGTAGCAAGGTTCATTGCTACATGGAGCAAAAAGCTACTAGTAGCTCCATTACTACTAGTAAGAAGAAGAAGCTACTAGTAGCAAGGTGCATCGCTACTAGGAACAAGAAGGACCATGGGACTAGTAGCTCCTGGCATTACTACTAGCAACAAGAAGCTACTAGTAGCAAAGTGCATTGCTACTAGGAGCAAGAAGCTACCACGGGACTAGTAGCTCCTGACAGTACTACTAGTTACAAGAAGCTACTACTAGCAAGGTGCATCACTACTAGGAGCAGGAAGCTACCACGGGACTAGTAGCTCCTGGCATTACTACTAGTTACTAGCAACAATAGGCTACTAGTAGGAAGGTGCATCGCGACTAGGAGCAGCAAGCTACTAGTAGCTCCTGGCATTACTACTAGTAACAAGAAGCTACTAGTAGCAAGGTGAATCGCTACTAGGAGC